AAGTGCACTGATGTAGTAAAAGCATCGCTGCCCTGGTGCGAGCGAGGGTGTGGGGGCCTGGGGAGGAACGCGGCTGCATGCAGTGGCACCCCCTAAGGTCTCCTGCCAGGAGCAGAGACGCTCTCAGGCTGCGTGAGGGGAATGCCAAGGCTGTAGAGGAGAATTTGCAGGCAGAGGAAGAGTGAACCATCTGTGCTCCCATTGCCCCGGCAGGCTGGGCACGGCATGAGGATGGATGGTGCTCTTGCGTGCAGGAGGACAGATGGCATGCTGCTCCCCAGCTCCCACCATGACCTTCAGCGCTCGCCTCCATCGCTCGCTGCGTGCCTTCAGCTTTGTGAGGCCGGATGGGGAAGGGCTGCAGTGACACAGGGTCTGCACAAGTGGAGCTCAGCTGTCATGGGTGGATGTTTTTATGCTGGAGCCTTTAGGATTTGGGGCCAGGAGACCCAGGTGGACAAGCAGAGGTGTTGCTGGTGAGGACCGCGCCTTCTGCTGCGGTCCTCTGAGCCCTCTTGCAGGGACCCCATGGGGCAGCACAACCTTCAGGCTCTTTGCAAGGCAAAATCGGGCCATCCGTGGCGATGTAACCCAAACACACCGGGGAGCAGAGCAAAGCCCTTCAATGGGAAGCAGGCGCCCGGCTCTCTCAGCGATGCGATGCCGCCCTGCCTGCGACTTGGAGCCTTCCCAAGCGGCTGTCAGTCACCATCGCTGGCCCTGTTCTCACTCACATACAATATTATCTCTACCCGCTGCTGCAAATTGGCTCTGAGCAATCCTTGATCTGTCAGCATCGCCTACCCACTCTCAGATGTCACCAGCCCCCGCTGCTGCCCTGCTCAGTAACGTGTCTCTCTGAAATGTAATAATTCATTAAGTTGAGCTTAACTTTTTTTTTTCCCCCCCTCCCCTCTCTGCCACCCCTTCCTCCTTCTAATGGACAAAAGCAATTAAGCTCCATTAGGGATCAAGCGTGTGGGAAGTGTCTCCCTCAGAGACAACTGCCGCCGTGGCACAGACCTTGTCCCTCGATGTGTGTGGCACCAGCTTCTTGCAAATTAGGGCCCAACAGCAAATGGTTGGGTAGGGGGAAATGTTGCTCAATGAGGGGGATGCTGGAAAAGATGCTCCCATTCCCTTCTGTAGGAAAAGGTGATTTGAGGCTCAGCTGGTCCTTCTGTGTTTCATCACAGACACATGATGATGGCTTTTCTCACCATGCAGCAAAAGGAGAGGAGGAGCTGGAAGACAGAGGGGTGGGCAAGCAGGAGGCGGCAGAGAGGGGCCAGATTCCCAGATGGTGTAAATCAGGGGAAGCTTTCCAGGTGCTCCCGGTCACAGAATATATCTGCAGGGTCTGGCTGGCAACAGTTCTGCCAAGGTGATAGCTGGCATGGGGTTATGGCCCATGGGACAGAAGTTTGGTGCACAGGAGGACCAGTGGACCAAACCAGAAGGAGAGAGGCAACATCCCCACTGACTCTGGCCGCAAACAGCATCTTCTCATTTCTTGACACCCCCGATTCGCTAACAAAGGCCTGTGAGGCATGATGGCACAGCCAAAATGGTCCTGCCTTGCCTCCAGCTAGGGCAAGGAGGGTTTTTGGCATGGCATACCCAAAACTGTGAGTGCGTTGCACTGTTGGCTGTGGGAGGTCCTTCCTTCTCCCCCGTCTCCTCCCACCCTCCTTCCCTCCACTTAGGCTGCTTTTCTCTTCCTTGCCTTTTGTTCTCTCCCCCTTCCCTGCCCTAGGAAGAAAGTCTCATTTCAGTCTGAAAGCCAGCGATGGAGGGGGAGAGTCATTTGATGCTTAATGCCAGAGCGGCAGGAAACTTCACCTTCCTGGGGTGGAATTAAAAACGCTTGAATTGTCTGGGGATCTTAAACAAGAGATGCAGGGAACATTCAGGGCTTTTCACACAAACACGCGCGCGCACACACACATGCAAAAGCCCACACAGCATTAAGGGTGTAATAGCTCAGCTGGAGTAATGCACTTGAACTCTCTCTGCAGCAGACAGACCAATTCTTTTAGTTCTTCTGAATATTTTTTTTTGAGGCTGGAGATTGCTGCTAGTCTCTGGGGAGAGAGACGTTTGTCTTGCAGAGAACAGTGCCATTTGTTCTTCGCAATCCTGCTTCCCTCAGAGCAGCCTGGGACTGGGAGGGGGCTGAGGGCATGGGCTGGGCTCCTCCGTGCAGCTGGGGCTCTGTGCCTACCAGGGCTCAGGGGTGGGATGGGGAGCTGCAGCCAGCAGGTTGCATCCCCCTGATGTTGTTGCAAGGAAGGAAGGGTGTGCTGGGGGGATGTCTGGTGTGAAGGATGCTCCTTGTGTGAGATTGTGGTTGTTAGTAGGGGTATAATGTGTGGGTCGAGATGCCCCAGGTATGTGGTGTGTGTGAGCCTGGGGTGTGGGACCTCCTAGAAGCAGGTCCAGCCGTGTTGTCTCGCATATAACCCATGACGTGGGTGGGAGGTTGCTACGTTGCCACCCTTGTGTTTCCTGCCAAATATTTCCATTTCTCTGTGTGTGTGTAACAGCCTTTGCATACATGCTTTGGGTGCTTCTTTGTACAGGCTGGGTGAAAACCTCAGGAGGGCAACCTGCGTGGGCCTTCTGTGTACTGCCACAAGCGGGTGTATACCAGAAAGCAGACCGTGCCTACCAGTGTGGTCTTGTGTTTTAACAGCGTGTGAGAAGGTGCATATAGCCCTAGCTGCCTATGGGTGTCTTTGCGCAGGTCTGTAGGTGAAATCGTCTCTCTTAGGTACTGAGGGGCGCGTTTATGATTGTGCCTAGGAGCGCGTGTGAGTGCGTGGATGCCAGTACATCTGTGCACCACGTGTGTTAGAGGCTGCAGGAGCAGTGGGCACAGCGTTACCTCGGGCCGGTGTTGCTCAGTTTTTGGCCCCAAGCAGGCACATGCCTTTGCCTGCACAGAGCCCACGAGGTGCTGCCTGCCCTCCTGCCTGCTGCGTTGCCAAGCCAAGCCATTGGCCTTCTCTAGACTGGTCATCACCCCTGGATGGTTCACATGAGACATTGAAGTCCGGAGAAGGACAACAGGGATGTCTCAAGTCCTGGGAAAATCCTCCAGGGAGATGCTGGAAAGAAAAATGATTCAGAGGAGGAGGTAAAGGCGGGGGACAGGACCTTAGGTACTGAGGGGCGCGTTTATGATTGTGCCTAGGAGCGCGTGTGAGTGCGTGGATGCCAGTACATCTGTGCACCACGTGTGTTAGAGGCAGTGGGCACAGCGTTACCTCGGGCCGGTGTTGCTCAGTTTTTGGCCCCAAGCAGGCACATGCCTTTGCCTGCACAGAGCCCACGAGGTGCTGCCTGCCCTCCTGCCTGCTGCGTTGCCAAGCCAAGCCATTGGCCTTCTCTAGACTGGTCATCACCCCTGGATGGTTCACATGAGACATTGAAGTCCGGAGAAGGACAACAGGGATGTCTCAAGTCCTGGGAAAATCCTCCAGGGAGATGCTGGAAAGAAAAATGATTCAGAGGAGGAGGTAAAGGCGGGGGACAGGACCTGCCCTTCTCCATCCCCTTGCTGCCTCTTCACAGTGCCTGGTTTTTATTCCCTGAAGGGAGGCACAGAAGCTGAACTGGTGCTGGAGTCAGGTGGTGTTGGGAGCACCCTCCCCGAACAGCAGCACCGAACAGCAGCACCTCTCAGCTGGGGCATGCAGGGCTGAGTAACCGAGCAGGGGGTTTGCTCACGTGCATCTGCACTTTTCCTCCTGCAAAGAAGCTTCTCCTCCTCTCTGCTCAATCATCCATCCTCCATCCATGCTTTGACTGTGGATGGCCATGCATTGCCCCAACATGCTCCAGCCGCCCT